TTAAACATGAAAAACTTTCGTAGGACGTATTTTCTTGTAAAGTTCATATTTACTGAGATATCGCACTTTGACGCACTAATGAGCAACCCTGTATATAAGCCTTGTTCTATGCTACTGACTACTGTACTAGCATGTACTAGACGTCGACCAGCAATGCAAATCAAAGCTCTAACAAGGTCTGAAAAGCTGAAAAATACGACCAACTGCTTGATAAACGGCTAGAACTAGCAGATTTGCAGAAAAAGAAATTGGAAGAATTGTTAATGATTGAATGTGAAAGAAAGCGAAAGCTTCAATTATTAGATTTGCAAATTGAAATAGAAAAGAATAAACTTAATGTCCTCAGACATTAAACTGGGTGTTCATATTAATTTTTATTGAAAAAACTTAAAAATTAAAACTCCGTACAAGATCAACGTAAGAAACTTCTTTATAGTGTAACTGACTCTAATAGGTATTAAAAAATACGAATTACTTCCAAAGGTATATTTTCTTAGTAATTTAAAGCCTAGAAAAATAATAATTTACAAGTTGATTTCTAAAGTTGTTAACTAAAGCTTGGCTGTGTGGTTCTGGTACAGTGCCTGCTTCCCTAACAGCAATTAAATAATTTAGCTCCTCATTAATATCTGCAAGCAAGAGGATCTTTTTTACCCACATTTTTTGCCATATTATATAAAACTGCAGTTGCCGAAATAATGTGCATTGCGGTCCAGTTTTACTCTCAAGCCATACGCCAAAACGGGAAGCCTTCTTTTCCAAACTCCAAAACATCTTTCGATCACGTTTCCTGTTCGGATATGGGATTGTATAGCCTTTCGGCTCTTGTTGCAGGATTAACTAAAGGGGCGAACAAATAGGATCTAAGACCATAGCCACTGTCACCCGTAATAAAAAAAATCAAGAAAATATACTAAACGGTCCCTACTCGGGCCCTAATCAGCCAAAAAGTGCCGGTTAATATAATCGATGTTTAGAATACACAAAACAGTGGTTAAGCGACAGTACAACACATTTTTCAAACTAAACAAAGATTAAATTTTTAATAACTACTCTACGACTGAAAAATAACTAAAAAATAAGCAATAAAACCGATCAGTTTTTTTTAATGAAAATATTAGGTCGTACATGTAATAAAATCAAATTATGAATTGACGTTCTAAAGAATTTTTAAGAAATACATGTGTTTTGAATATTCTGATAGAAAGCAAAATGATACTGCAACATTGCTTAAGATGGAGGTATATATTGGTTATATGTAATATTATGTTATATGTATTATATATGGACACAGGCTTAAAGCCCGTGTCCCATGCATCCGTTTGTACGATAATACGATGGTACTAAAGTGTATCTATTGGTTGGAGATCTGTCAATTCGTCCGTCGTCGAACCAAGTTAAAAAAATTTAAACTTTATACGATGATTCGACCGCCGACATTGGCTACGATTAGAAGTGCGAGCTAGTAATTAATACTAACCTCCTTCGATTTGTGACTGTATATGGTGATTTGTGACTGTATATGGTGTATAGCTTATAGTTGTTTATTGGGAAGTTGTTGATTGACAACCACACCTTAGTGTGGTTGTAAATATGGACGGTGGGGCTGGACATGGGAGAGGAATCAAACCTCCCCCGGTCCCGCCTGACCCCCCAAAAACGGGTAGTACCCCTAATGTTAATAATGGCTCCAGTATGGAGCCCAAAAATTTAAAACGTAGCGTAGAATATGACTCGAAAGATAAGGACCCATACACTGTTTATATTGAGACATCAAAAAAAAAATAAATTCCTTAGGAAATATCGGCAAATATTCACATTTAGAACTAGCTAAGGAAATATTTGACCTTGACTTTGACCTCGTCGATGTGGGAAATATTAAAAATAAAGGACTGAACAGAATTGCTGTAGAATTTTTAAACCATAGCGCGGCCAACCATTTTGTTAAAAATATAAAACTTCTCGACAAAGGATATGAAATATTTGTCAGAGGAACAATTAAATGAATATTTTAATTCTCCAATACAAATAATATCCATTAAACGAATGAATAGGAAAGTTCTAAAAGATAATAAACCCGACTACATACCCACAGGTACCTGCTTGTTTACGTTTAGAGGAATAACTCTACCAAAAGAGGTTTATTTCTGTGACATGGCAATGAAAATATCAATTTACATACCACCTGTGACACAATGCTTTGCTTGCTTACTCTATGGTCATACAAGAAAGAATTGCAAAGCAAAACCGAAATGCTTTAATTGTGCAGGAGAAATACATGAGGACCCAATTGAAAGTGGAAATATAACAGAATATTCATGCGAAAGCAAGTGTCACTACTGTAAAAACAATCATCGATCCACCAACAAAAATTGTCCAGAATATCAGAGACAACTTAATATTAAAAATTTGATGACTTTCGAAAATTTGACATACCGCAGATGCAAATGACAAATGCAGAAGAACGTACCAACAAAGAAACGAATACTACTACAACCCCAAGGACTTCCCCACAATTGGGAAGACACTGCCAAACAATACGGAAACCTTTATCACTCCAGACCAAAGAAGAACGGAGTACTTCAATGCGACAGGCCCAAAAAGATCTTACCAACAGGTCACTAGACAACCCCCTAAAAAAAGACTCCTTCAAGAGGGTTATGATAAACAAAAGCATGATGAATGCTTATATTAACACTCGCCCGATAGAGACACAACAGTTAGACACCCCATCTTGTTCACATTGGAGTGAAAACACATCAAATACCCTAAATAGATCACGCGATACAGATAAGCCCATAGGTGCACTTACACTAAACAACTTAAAAATAAATTACCAAATGAAAAAATGTATAATGCAGATGAACTGTTTGAAAAATACCTAAGTAACAAAGATGGCAGAGATTTCATCAAACATCTAATAATAAACCATTTAAAAACCCAAAATCCTACAAGCCATGACAATACATATTAATCAAAAAACACCATAAACACCAAAAAATTCCTAAAAATTGTGCAGTGGAATATTAGAAGTGTCAAATCAAATAGAGAAAATCTAATCAACCTTATTAAGGAACATAAGCCGGACATCATTCTATTAAACGAAACTTGGCTAAAGAAACAAGACAAATTTAACATAAAGAATTACTCGACCTTAAGACAAGATAGAGAGGATGGATATGGCGGAGTAGCCACTTTATAATACAGCAAATTGATAATCAAAAAATTACTTCTTTTGATAACAACTTCACCCAATACCTAACAGTCAAAGTAAACGACACCCTCATTACAAATATATACTGTAATTCAAGCAATAAATTAAAGTCAGAGGATCTTGATAAAATATTAAACACGAATCAACCCATTATTATCATGGGCGACTTGAACAGCCATCACCCTATGTGGGACAAAATGCCAATCAATTTCGGTGGAAGACTTATAGTGGAGAAATTAATGGAAAACGATACAGCTATGATACTAAATGACGGTTCACCCACACTATTTCACAATTCAGAAAAAACTAGTGCAGTTGATCTAACAATAGTAACATCCAGTCTTGCGCCAGCTATAGAATGGCAAGTATTAACAGACAATGGCAACAGCGACCACTTCCCTACAAACATTAAAATTCATGAAAATAATAAATATACATTTAAAACATCAGTAATAAATACATATTATACCCACAACTATAATAAAGCCAATTGGGAACAATTTTATACTAAAGCGTTAGCACAGGACTATACAGACACTAGTGCAAACTTCACAAATTTTATAACTAAAATAAATTTAATAATAAACGAAACAATACCATATAAAAAAATAATAATTTTGAACTTCCAAATAACCCATGGTGGGACAAAGAATGTAAACAGCTTCTCACAAAAAAGAAAAATGCCATCAAATCTTTTAAAAAGGATTTTAATCTGTAAAATTATATCAATGTCAAACGAGTTACAGCCATAACAAAAAAGAAATTTAAGGAAAAAAAAGAAACTCATTTATTAAATTTTGTGAATCCCTAAACAGAAACGCAGATACTAGATATGTATGGAACAAATTTAAACTATTCAATCACAAAAGGGTAAAAAACAAACATAACATAGAGGATAGCAAAAAAGTAGAAATCATTAACGATCTTGCAATTTGCAACATGTTGCCAGATTTTGAAACAACCCATTACATATTTTACCATGGAGGAATTTGAAAATAGCTTTTTTTTTTTTTTTTGTTATACCAATCTAGTACAGTATACTAATAAGCCATTTGTCTTTAACTTAATCTACTACTTTAAAAAACACAAAGCACACACATCCTCCGATAGTCACTCTGT